TTTTTTTTTTTTTTTTTTTTTTTGTACCGGGGATTGAACTCGGGTCCTTGCACTTGCAAGGCAGGCCACCAAACTGCTGAGCTAAATCCCCGACCCTATAGAGATTTTATTGTACCTGAAAGGTAAGAAATGCTGGGGCCCAGCTCTTCACCAATTCTGGGGAAGTCATTTCCATTCATCTACCAGCACCGCCCAGAGGAACAGCACAGTGCCTACTGCAGGGTTCTCCTAAAGCCAAGTCAGTCACGGCTGATACCTCTGCTTCATTAGTTAACTCAGGTGGGAGAAGCCAGCACTACACATCATGAAGACAGGTATGTAACTGTTTCAGCTGGGGTGTGCCTGGCAGTGCAGTGCGCACACAGCAGCGCTCCTAAGGGACTAGCGGTCACTGACACTGAGGCGTGACTCCTTGGAGGGTGCGCACTGCAGGTGGAACTCTGCCAGACACTGTTTCTCTGTGGCTGTGGTCAAACACTGAGCTAGGCAGAGATTATCTGGATGTAAAACAGCAAAGTGCTAATAATCAGAATGTTTGTTTAGATTCCAGAAGTAACAAAATTAGATCTTATTGTCATTATTTCATTGCATAGTTCCCATAGTGAAAATTTCCAATTATTTGATTGTAATTTATATAACTTGAACCCATAAAACAATGGATATCAGCATTGTTTACTTCCTTTAATACAGAACCCTTAAAATGTTTTCAATATTTTAAGAAATCAAACTTTAAATGACAATGATGAAATAAAGCTAAAGCTCTATGGTTTAAAAGAAAAAAAGCAATCATTGAGAAAGATTGCTGATCATGGAATACACCATTTGATTGACAAGGGAGTTTTTCACAGCAAAAAGAAAAAAGAAAAAAAAGAGACAAAGCCAGGCATGGTGGCATACACCTGTAACCCCAGCACTTGGGAGGCTGAGGCAGGAGGATCACTACAAGTTCAGGGCCAGCCTGGGCTACATGGTGAGTTCAAGGCCAGCCTGAACTACTTAGTGAGACCCTGTCTCAAAAAGCCAAAAAAGTCTTCAGTCCAGAACAGTAACACTAATTGAAATTCATCTTTGCCTTCAGTTGGTCTACACACAATAGAGACCTTTCAAAGAATACACTTCTGGAAAGAAAATCTGAGATTAAAAGCACAATGAGCAAAGAATCTGGTAAGTGTATGTATAAATTTAAACAGAGTGCCTAAAAAACAATGAAAACAATAATCAGATGAAAAAAATGACTAAGATACTAGACAATATGGACATAGTTCCCTGTGTTTTTCAGGAGGGTGTGCTGAACTCAATGTTCATGCCTCTCTATAATCAGGACACTACAATTCTGACCTCACGAAGGTGGCAGGAGGAGGCACTCAGATCTCAGGGTGGGGCCCTCCTGATGAGCATCTTTCTGAGAAGAGATAGCCCTTGCTCTGTTCTTCTCCCAGGCAGACAGAAGTAGAGAAGGAAGCAGGCCTGCAGACACTGGACAAGGGCACCTGGCCTCAAACTTCTAACCTCCACAGCTGTGAGCTGCTGACCTGTGTCTGAGCCACTTTGCTTCCCCAAGTGACAGACACCAACAGGAAAGGGTAAAGGAAACCATTAGCAGACAGGAGTGACATATCATTTTACAACCGGTAGGAAAGGCAAGACAGGACTAAAGGAAAAAGAGAAAAATAAGCCCTTAAACAAAGGCAAGCGAGAATAAAGAGGAAAACTAGAAAGGGGAAAGAATGAAAAACTCCAAACACACTAGTAACCAGAATAACCAGACTATACCTGCTAAAGGACTGCATTAACAACAAAAGAGGACTAAGCATCCCACGTACAAAGTCAGAAAATGAATACAAAACAAACTTCAAGATGAATGTGAACACAAAAAAACATTTATTCCCATTCAATCATCAGCTTCTGATAAAATACGACAAATACTGAAGACAAGGCAGCTGGGGACCCAAGTCAAAGAGCAGCATGGTGGCCACTTGTGACTGACAGCAAAGGCTCATGGCTTCTCACCTGAGAAGCAGGAGGCGGGCACACTGGGAATGAAAACCAGCTTCCTCCAGCCCCACAAATCCCTACCCCAAGAAATAAAACATCTTCATAATCATAGCACTAAAATAGCACGTCCAGCTGGAAATTCACCCAAGGTATTCTGAGAAAGCTACACCAGCTAGATCACGGCAATCCAAGGTCCACTTTAACGGAACAAGGGAGGAGAGGGGTCCATGTGCAAGGATGAGAGCACTCTCCTTAACTCTTCTCTGTTGTCACTAAAATGAAATCATTATCTTAGTAGAAAAATGATATTATTAATATCCAATAAGCTTTTTCTAATGAAATCATCTTAAATCTAGACTGTCATAATTGAAGACACCTAAGACCAGTATAGCTCTTGAGTCAGCTGACCGAGCCACTATGAAAGGCATAGAGAAAAAGTGGGTGAACTGTTCTTTACATCAAGTTCAGTTCAGAGACTTACTCCTCTTGGATTTCAACTGCTCTAGGCACAGCCACAGCTGTTATGATACTTTAATTCTGCAATCCCAGTATAGTTCAATCCCAACACCATGCAGTCCTGGGTCCAACCTACCCTATCCAATCTGATAAACTCATGAAGCACATTAACACTAAAACAGAGAGCTAAAGTAACAGTTGGATTATACTAACCTTGAAGTATTTTCTCCTTGTTAAGTCTTGTTTCTCCACTAAAATAAAGAGGGAAAAAAACTTTATTAACATATTATGGAGAAAAAAATCAGCAATGAAGATATGAATCTTGTACTTCATAGCCTATAAAAAATACAACTTATTCTGAACTAACATTTCAATCATCTGTTCTAATGATGAACTTAAAACTTCAAACTGCCCTCAAATAAAATGTGAATGTATAGACTGGGAATCATTTTAAAGGAACTGCAAGAGAAAATGCTATTAAAAGTATGTGTGTGTGTATATATATATAGAGATATATACACACACACATACATACACACACGCACACACACATTATTTTTTAGTCTTTTTAAAAATTAATTTTATTGGTACAATTTAGATACACATAATGATCACATTCATCATAAGCAATTTATACCTATACATATCTTGATTCCCTTTTTTCCCATTTCTCTCCCTTCCCTTCAACTCGTCTTCCCCTCCTGTTTTACAAAAGATTTGTTTCTATTTTTTCCTTCTATATATTTTTTTCTTGTCCCTTCGTTTCACAGTCTCCCCCTCTATAGTTTGCCTTTCCTTTTGAACAATTTCTTCCAATTTCATATTATCTATCATACATTTTGGCACTTACATTTTGTTTCTCACACCAGAGAAATAATGTGATATTTACACATGTGCCTTAATTTAATTCATGTAAGAGTACAGCCTTAAGGTATATCCAAAACCTAGAAATGTCTCACATTTATCCTTTTTGGCTGAGTAGTACTCCATTGTTTTTTTTTCTTTTTAAATCTTCTTTATCCATTCATTGGTTGATTGGCATTTGGGTTGTTTCCAAAATTTGGCTATTATAAATTGTGTTGCTATAAGCATGTGTGTGCATGTATCACTGTGGAATGATGCTTTTTAATTCTTTCAGGAAGAGGGCCAGGGTTTTAGCCCAGTATTTCCACCGCCCGCCTTGGAAGCACAAGGTCCCAAGTTTGATCCCCAGTACAAAAACAAAACAAAACAAAATTCTTTCAAGAAGATACCCAGAAAGGGAATAACTGGGTAAAATGGGACCTCTAATCCTAGTTTTCTGAGGAATCTCCACACTGATTTCCACAATGGTTGCACCAATCTGCACTCCCATCAGCTTTTCTCCTATAGCCCCTCCAGCATTTGGTGTTGATTTCTTGATAACAGCCATTCCTTCTGGAATGAGGTAGAATCTCAGTATTGTTTTCTTTTGTTTGTTGTGTTTTTCTTTTTCTTTTTTTTGGTGCCGGGGACTGAACTCAGGACCCTGCACTTGCAAGGCAGGAGGTAGAACCACTGAGCCAAATTCCCAGTTTTAATTTGAGTCACTCAAATGACCAGTGATGTTGAACCTTTTTTCATATCTTTATTTGCTGTTTCTCCTTCTTTATCTGAGAGGTATGTATTCATTTCAGATGCCCATTTTTGGATTGAGTTTTTAAATTTAGTGGTTCTAATTGTTTGAGTTTTTATGTATTCTAGGCATTAGTCCTTTGTCTGGGGAACAACTGACTACAATTTTTTCCCACTGTGTAGGTTGTCTTCATTCTGTTGGTGTGTTTTGTTTGTTTGTTTTTCCCTGTGCAAAGTCTTTCTTTTCTTTTCTTTTTTTTTAGGACCTTGTTCTTGCAAGGCAGGTGTAGCACCACTGAGCTAAATCCTGGCCCGGTGCAAAGCCTTTTGACAGGATGAAGTCCCAGTTGTTGATTCTTTATATACTTTCCTGTGCAATTGGGGTTTTGTTCATGAAGTCCTTGACTACAGTATGTCTTCAAGAGTTCTACCTATTTTATCTTCCAACAGATTTAATGTTTCTGTTTTAATATTTATACCTTTGATCCATTTTGATTTTAATTTAGTGCAAGGTGAGAGACATGGGTCTAGTTTTATTCTTCAGCATGTAGAAACCCAGATTTTCCAGCACCACTTATTAAAAAGGCTATCATTCTTCCAGCAAACACGTTTGGTCTTTTAGTCAAAAATAAGGTGGCTTAGTATGTTTGCAATTGTTTCTATATCTTCTGATGTGTTCCATTGATCCTCTGGCCTGTTTTTATTTTTTTTGCCAGTACCATGCTGTTTTTATCACAGTAGCTTTGTTGTATAATTTCAAGTTGAGGATTGTAATGTCCTCTGCCTCGCCTTTGTTGGCCAGAATTGTTTTTTGCTATTCTAAGTAATTTCTGGTTCTAAATAAATTTTAGGAATTTTTTTTCTAGTTCTGTGAGGTATGCTAATGTGATTTTGATAGAGATTGTTGGTTTTTTGTCTAGTTGCTCTATTTTTGACAGTTAGACACTGGGTTCTCCCATTACAAGTATGTTAGTCCTTATTAGATTTTTTATGTTCATAAATATTTGTTTTACCTAGTTGTTTGTACTATTTGTTGCATATATATTTGATTATCTCTTCTTAAGAGTTTTCCCTTAATAAAAGTGTAGTGACCTTCTTTGTCTCTTGATCAGTCTTGGCTTGAAGTTTACATTGTCTGCGAATAGAAGTACATCTACCTTTTTCTGAGTTCCTGGGGGCTACCTTTTACATTGTTATTGAGGCTTAATTCAAAAGGGTTGCACTGTTTTTATAAGATTTGTTACAACTAGGCTGACTGTTCTTTGTCAGCCTTGTTAAAATAAATACATCAATCAAAACTACTTTCACAGGAGGCAGAACCAAAACATGAAAGTCCAGCAACGAACTGAATAAGCAAGAAAAAGACCACTGGGATGCAACAGGAGAGAAGTGAGGACCTTCAGAAGGCCTGTCTTCCCCCATTCCCTACAGTAGCTATGGCGAACCTTTCAGAGACGGAGCACCCAAACTGCATCCACTTCTTTATCAGAAAGTGCCAGCACTATAATGAAACCTGAACACGGAGATTTTAGTTTAGAAAAATCAACTGTCCTCCAATGCTTGGCTACTGGAGCGACTTGTCCCATGTGCTGACAGGGGGCTCCCCATGCCCGCTGACACACATGCCATAAGTTTGCCACCACGGTCCTAGATCTTGAGCAACCAGTTACCTTTTGTAGCACTGAGAACTTCTTTGCAGACCAACTACACTCAGACACAAGGCAGGGACATTACATTTTTTAGCAACTATAAAACCAAAATAAACCCAAACATTTTTGAAGCAACCAGAAGAGCAAGAGGCCTGGAAATTCAATCACAAGATAACTGGGGCATTGAGGCTAGCAGAGAGGTGCAGAGCAAAGTGGAGGGTCAAGACCAGTGACACACGGGGCAGACCTACAGCAGAAGGAATCACCAAGCACAGGAAGAAGTGAAACAGTCTTGAGTTTTAGTTAAGGCCTGCTGACCCATGCCAAGGGGGATGCCTTACCATGTAGGGCAGGCTGGCCTTGGATTCACTATGTAGCCCAGACTGGCCTCCAACTTGCACTGATCCTTCTGCCTCAGCCTCCCAAGTGCTGGGATTACAGTCAGCACCACACCTGGCTCAATCCCCTTCCCACTTGAGAAACATCTACTTCCCTACTTTCTATTGTCTATCTTTTATTTTGCTCTTTATCTATACTTTGGATTTCTCATATAAGAGAAACTATGAAATATTTAAGCTCATGTGTCTAATTTATTTCACATCATGTTCTCAATGTGCATTCATTTTCCTAAAAAAATGAACACCACATTTTCTTTATCAACAGATCTGCTGATGGACAGTTTGTTTCCATGATTCAGCTATTATGATGAATCCTGCTACTATAAACATGGGTAAGAATGTATCACTATAATATGATGCCTTTAAATCTTTGGAGAAGATACCTACAGAGAGGGAACAACCGATAATTCAGTATTATTTCTAACAACAAACAAATGTAAATAATCCAAGAGCTCACTAACAGGAACTGGTTGGAATGGTTACATTAAAAAATCATTAGTGGCATATCTATGCAAGGGAATACTATGTAGCTGTGTCATTTAAAAAAGAGAAACAGTAAGTAAAGATGTGAGCTATCATCAAGTTATGTAACTGAGTAGAAAAAGAAGGTGTAGAATATGTAGAAAGCATTACCTATTTAGAAAGGAGGCAATAATAAATATTTGGATTTGCACAAAGAAAACACTGGCAGAGGGTATATGAAAGTAATGGTTATTCACGGGGCTGTGAAGAACGGAAAATTGTTTTGATTTTAAATCTGTGGCTATATTAGTCTAAAAATAGAAGCATTACAAATAAATGAATTACTACACACCAAACCATTTGTACCTTGGCAGAAACCAACACCACTGATTCACTCTTATCATTGATGTTAATATTAATAAAAGATTTCCAACTCCAAAACCAACTCAGAATTTGAAGAAATGGATGCAAAAAGATGTTAAACTCTACCATTCAGGTAATAAGGAGAATCCAGGCCAAGGATGGGGAACCATTTCTAACTAGAAAATGCTAGCATGCATTAGATTTGCTTCCCATCTCAGTCTCATCACCTTATTGAGATCAAGAAGCAAAGAGCTGCTGTTTAAGCACAAATCTCATCCTCTCCAGACAACAACTTTGTAGCCACTTCAATTTCCAGCAAAAGCCAAAGAAACATTCTCATTTTGTAAATTTTAAAATCAAGAATGAGAAATTTAATGATTTTACCACCCAAAAAATTCAAGAGCCGCCATAAAGTTTAGGTCTTTACAAATCACACAAATTCAGCAGACATGTTGACTTTCTGGATACTTCCTGAAAAGATCAGCTCAGAATTTTAATTTAATCTCAATAGCTGATTTGATGAAAGGCTCTGCTTAATTCATATTGACTAAATGCCATTTTATCAAAAAATGGCATTCCAGTAATTTGATATTTTTGTAAAGGCACTGCTTCACCATCTAACAATTTTTCAGCAGAAGGAAAAAAATAGCTGTGATAGGATAAGAGTTTTCTTTTAACTATAAATAAATGGACACTGCTGCAGACATAACAGTATTATTAATAGTCACCAGCATTTGCTTTTAGCTTCCACTAGGTACTTTTGTCTTCAAATCACTTTAACTATTAGAGTGGGAACCCAAAAATAGAATTTTTTTCTCAAAAACTTTTATAAATATTTAGTTGTGCAGCTTTTATCAGCTATATTAAGAGGTTTATATAAATCCTGGAACAAATGTTTAAAATTAGTTTGGGGAGAGGGAAGGAGAACAGATCACTAAAACAGTGTCACTACTAATCTACGTACTTTCACCGAAGTTTGGCTGTGACAGCTGCAGAGAAGGCAGAAGGCATGAAAGGTCAGAGGGATACACTTTGAAGGAGTCAGGAATAACACCACTCACTTCCAAAATCTGCAGTGTGATCCTTTTCCAAAGCAGAACACTCAGCCCTGAAGGAATCCAAATGTGCATGCCAGGAAGAGAAGTCTTATGACTCGCCATTTATAGGCCCTACAAATAGGCATCCTTCTTCACCTTGTGTGTTATCACGGCACTCCTCACTAAAAAGATTATCTCTTCCGTCCGATATATATCTGTGCCATTTCTTTAGAAATCACACGAAAGGCAGAATTTCCCTATTTTGTCCTTTTAAGGAATTAAAATTCAACCGACAATACTCAGTTTGCCACAAGAGAGACGAATCACGGGAGTTGTGTCACAATATCGCTTTCTATTAGAGATTGGTCCAGGCTGCGAAGCCTCACCCTGCGGTCACCCCACTGACCAGAGAACAGCAGCGCAGCACCGTGGCACAGCAACAAGCACATCTAGCGTCATGAAAATATTAAAGCCCAGGTGATCAAAGGTAGTTTTGTCTGCTTTATTCACATCCAGAACAATGATTAGCACTCAATAAAAGCAAGTAACTGCTGACAGGGATAGAGTAAGAAAAATCAGTTTTGCTATTGATAACTTTCCTAAGTAGTCATCTTTAAGCCATTAAAAGTAAATTAAATTAATCTAGAAAATTTTTTGAAGTTTTGGAGCTGGTTAATGGACATGAAATTAACAGTTTACAAGTGACTCACCGCTCAGTGGGCCGCACCTCCCTCTGAAGCACAAGACCCTGAGTTCGACCCCAGTAGCGTTAAAAAAAAGACTCGCACTGAGGGGCAAGGCTTCCGCTGGCGTTGTGCAGGGGATGTAATGCCAAACTACCTACACTGCAGTTTTCAACAATGCTGTGCTGTCCTGAGAAATTCTAGTTTAACAATAACAACAGATTTAAACTTTGGAATTTCAGCACCACAAAAATGACAAGCATTGGTGCCTTCAATTCAAACTATGATGAAAGACAAACACATACAGTAATCAAACTATGATGAAAGACAAACAGATACAGTAAAGCACAAAATTCAGAAATTATTTGGTTGGACTTTAAGAAATTGCTCTAAAATTTTCTTGCATTAGGGAAAAAAAGAAAACAAAATTTTCCTGCACTATCTGAAGAGGTAAAGTTCAATAAAAGTATGCAATTATTCAGTAATTCATTCTATTTAATTATGATTATCTATCAAATTTGAAATAATTTCTCTTCCTGAAAGAATCACCAGGTTTTTAGCCCTTAGAACACAGAAGACAAGAAGAGAGATGGAATGGCCCAGACCTTAAAGCAACTAATCACAGCCTTACTGATTTTAAAACATACTCTTCATTTTCCTATGTACAAAACAGTACAAAATCTCTTAGCATCCTGTGTGACTTTCTCAGCCTCAAAGTTGGCTGGTGACATCCAAGTAATTTACAGACACCAGGTTTTCATGACAAAAGAGACAGAAGACAGTGGTTATACTGCTTTGGTTCTAACTCTATTTACCCAAGTTGCTAGGTGACCTTAAGCAGGTTGCACTGTTTTCTCACATGCAAATTGAGGATGTCCATCCCTGACACTGGACCACTGGCAGGCTTTGATTACACCAGTGTCTGGCACACAATAATTTATTAAGAGCTGTTTTAAAAATGATTCCTATGAGGGTCTCCAAAAAGCCCTTTTCAAGCAGCAGGGATAGAATAAAACCTACATTCACGTTACTATTATTCATTAACAATACAAACAAGAACCACCTTACTTTTCCAGAGGGGGTCTTAGTCCAGATTTCCCATGATCTCTAAGTTTTCAATCATTTGTCCGACACTTTGCTGGTTGGTTTAAAGGCTCTCATGTTTAAAAAGGGCAAGCAGCACTCTTCTTCTTGTTCTGCTACCAATTAAACCGCATGACTTTAAGTAAATTAAGAATCCTCCCAAAGCATTCTATAAAATAGAGGCAGGCGGTGAGGGAGAACAGAGAGGAACTAGGTTTCTGATTTAGTCACTAAAATCTTGCAAATCCTACAAGTCAATGTGAGATGGTTCCCAAGATGATCTTCCCACGGGAGCCATGCATCACAATACACGCCTGCAATTCTTGCACTCTGGGAGGCTGAGGCAGAGGAATGACAACCTGGGCAACTTAACGACTTAGTGACACTGACTCTGTCTGAAATTTTTTAAAAAAAATTTTTATTAAAGGCTGGGATGTAAAATGCAGAGGACCTAAGTTCAAGTGGGCTCGACAAGGTGAATCAGAGTTCCTTGGCTCCGGGGAAAAAATGGTTATCTGAACAGTTATCTCAAATTGTATCTGAGTGACTGCACTGGCACGCAGACTCTACACACAAGCTGTTCTGACACACTACAGGTACACAGCTGAGGACCAACAGCGCTTTGCTGAAGCTGTCCTCACGGGATACTTCTTCCCTTCTTTGGTGTCCTTCACTTTACCTCTGCCCATGTAACTCTCAGAGTAGCCCAGGGGAGTGTCATCATTCTCTCCCCGCTGCATATCAGGAACCGGATCCGAAAGATCAGGTTCTTACCCTGGGCTACAACCCGCGTGGCTCTTATGCGGAGCCCAGATTCCGGTCTGTCTCACTCGAAAAGCCTCTGCTCTAGACCACACCGAACTTCCCTTCCCAACTCCTGAGCAGGCACACCAGGCAGGGCACCTGCGGACAGACAGCTGCAGCGATCTGTGCTGCCAGGAGCACGCTGTGATCCTGGTCCCTCCCTAGAACCCGACCCTCGGTCTCGGAGGGAGAGGCGTAAGTCGCAAACGTGTGCCCCTGCCCGGAGAGGGAGTTAAGGGGCCGGGGTCCGCAGCCTCCGCAGGCCACCAGCAGCCCGCAAACCCGGTTCTGCTGGGAGCAG